GTGATTCATGAGCAGGAGGGAGAGACACTTTCTCTTCTTCCTGGGATGAGGGCAGAGGAAAGATGTTCCTCTTGGGAAGGAAGAGCACCCACCTTTCTCCTAGAAGGAGGACGTCCCCTGCAGCAGGATGTCCTTGGGCAAGGCCAGGTTTTAATTGCTGCAGCAGCACCAGACATCCGAGTCATGGTCCCCCCTCAGTGCCTCTGCTCCCAGCCTGCCTCCTGCAGCTACCGAGGATGGTCCTTGAGCAATGATGCCCCCGACACTCCAGTGCAGAAGAAGGACTCCCCACATGCCCTGGCTTTCTCTCCAGACAGGAGCTAGGGGCAGTTTGGCTGATCTGAGCTCCTAGGAGTGCTGGCTGTGCCCTGCCTCTGCCTGTTTGCCTGACTGTCCTGCTGCATCGACCCACGCCTGCTGGCATCTGCACTGCTGTGCTGCACTGTGTCTGTCTGGCTACCTCCTTGCCCCTGTTTGTGCCTGTCTGTCTGTCTGTCTGTCTCTCTGCCTGACACCTGCCACTGCAAACACTGCCTGCCTGCCTCCCGCTCCATTTGTCTGTCATTATTAGATTTTCTTTTCCCCACCCTTTTCTTTTCCTTTGGCCACTATCCGGAGGCCTCTGCATTACGTGTGACTTGGGGACTGATTTTATGGATGGCAGCCAGACTGCAATCTGCAGTGAGGGGACTATCCAGCTGGAGAACCTCTGCAAGGAGCCTCCTGCAAATACCTAGGCAGAATGCTCGCTGCCAGCACTGCCTAGAAACTGCACAATCACGCCTGCCTCCACAGCACCATCAGCCACAGATTTAAAGGGAGCTGAAATCTCTTGCAACAGGCCTCAGGGAACCGCATTCCTCCAAAAGCCAGTCCTTCAAGCTTGAATTTCTCAGCTGCCTATGATCATATAGCTGGGGGTGAGGGTGGGGATGTGGAGGAGACACAGCGTGCAGAGATGTGGGGCTAGATGTAAAAGGGACCCATGTGTGTGTGCGTGCGTGCACACGTGTGTGCATGGCTACACGTGCTGCCCCATGGCATGGCTGTGTTTGGATGCAGACCTCCTGCTTGCCGTTTTTGCACCCTGACAAGGTGGCAACATGCCTGTAGGGTTTGTCTGTTTGTGTTGCATCGATCTGCTTCCAGTCTTGTTGGTGGTGGCTTTCTGAGTCGGTTTGCCATGGCTTTAACCCCGTCCTTAGCCAGTACCATCCTCAGTCACCAGTGTAGTTGTGTTGCTGTGCACATGCAGCTGGGTCCAGTTGAGCTGCCACAACAGGTAGGCTCAGGCCTTTGCTTTCCTTACGGCAGCACCCTGGGAACCCTGCTGCCTGCTCCCTGGGCACCACAGGCTCCCCATCACTCTGTTTTGGGGCAGCACGCCTGCAGCCCACGCACTGAGCGAGCGGCCCGCACTAAGATTGTGTAGAATTAGCAAAACCCTGCTGCACAGCCAGCTTGCAGAAGTTCAGCACTCGAATGTCACCTGGGATCAGGTTCTGCTGGAGCAGAATATGACTTTTCATATCAACTTTCACAGTGCCAGCCCTTTCTGCAGAGCCCAGCCAGGGGGTGTGGGAGGAGGTGAGGACAGGGCAGGCCATCCTGCATGACTCTGCTCCTTCCCAGGGTGCCTTGGGACCCAAACCCCCAGGGAGAGCGGCTCCCTGATGCTGCCTTCCTCTCCTGTCAGCTCCACCTTGCCTCAAGAGCAGGAAAGAGGTCTTTTGCCGGGCTGCTTTCTGGGCCCAGAAGCAGAAGCGGCTCTGCTTAGCTCCTTCCCAACCACACAGTGATGGGGGCAAGCCCTCGTTTGCACCCTCACCAGCCCTGGGCCTAAAACTTCAGGCTTGTGGCCAGTGGCATCACCAACAGAGCTTCAGCCGCGTCCACCACTGTTCCTGCCACCAATTCCCACGTGAGACCTGCACCGGGTGGGTCTTTGGTGACAGGGTGCAGGCTGGCCTCGCTGAGGTTACCCATTTGGGGTGGTGGGAATACCTCCCCCCCCTCAGCAAAGCCCGAGCCCAGCTCTCCTTTCCACTTCCAGAGCATCCTCCATTCCCAGCAAAACAACTCCCACGGGCGCAGGCTGGGGGAGGCTGGGGGTTGGCAGCTCTTCTGCACAGTGTGACGTTCCCATGGCAATGGGGACCTGTCGCCCTTTCGAGGCTGCAGAAAGAGGGAACAGAGGCGG